AGAGGGAGGTGGTTTTGGGGAAGAAGGAGGGCACAGAGTTGGGGGTCCAGTCCTGGCGAGGAGAGGGGGCTGGGGACAGGGTGCGGGGAGGGGGCACCCAGGGGCCACCAGGCCGAAGGAGGGGGTGTCGGGGCTCGACAGCCAGGTGGCTCTGCCATCACCTTTGCTTGCGTTTCACCTGCAGCGCGCTTGTAGCAGCAGCCAGGATGCAGCTTAGCGCCTTTGGTCTGCTTGCCCCGGTTAGTCCGAACGCGGCTTGTTTTAGCTTTGCGCCTTTATTAGAAAAATAATCACGGCTCAAGCCAAGGGCTGCCTTGAAAGTCGGTTGGTAGCGGCTGTGTGAAGATCTGTTCGGTGCGCAAAAGGAGCAGAGAGTATGAGGCAGTACCCCAGGAAACGTTTTAGAAAGCCAAGGATACTAATCAGCGTTACTAACAGTCTCTTTTCTGCGTCAGATCCAGTCCAGACGTGTTTGAATCCCGTATGGAGAAAAGAAATGAGGTGAAGAAGCAGCCAGTGGGATATTCCAAGCAAGCAGAATTTATCAGGTGTATGGATGAGAAGGCAAGGCCGATATTCTATGTAATTCACATATGTTGAAGCTATAGTTTTGTCATTTATGTTCTGTCTGCATCACACTACAAACACACCACGTTGCTGCTGGTAATGAGCCACGTTTCACTCTCTGGTGACTAAATATACCATTTTGTATTCCAGCATATTATTTTGTTAATTTTTAGGTTGGAGATTCTTTGCTAGAGTCTTATTTAAGAGTTTAATCTGTTCCAGATTAGTTTGGCTACATGGAGTGATGTGATCTTGCTTTTATCATCCTGTAGCAAATGAAAAAACTGTTCAATAATAGTAAAACAAAATGTGCAATGACCTTGTAATTCATAATTCACGTTAAGTTACTAATCTTATTTACTTATCAGTAATTTATTTTAATAAAATACATTTCAAGTATGCTTATCTCAGAGCTGAGCTCGTACTTGAAAGATTTTATCAGCAAGCACACTATGCATAGCTGGAAAAGCAATTAAAATTTGGTGTTAAAGCATTAGCTATAAAAACTTAAAAAATAATATTTTCTTCTAGGCAGAAGCTTTGGGCACAAAGACATCAAAGGGACGATTCACAAAAGATAAGGTAAGGCAAATGAACCTGAGTGTTAAGAAAGGACGTAATAGCAGATCAAGCTTACAGTTTAACTTGGATTGCTACCATCAGTGCTTTAACCAAGAGTTTCTTGAGACAGAAGAATTAATGTTCCTCATGCTGCACTTCATTGTAAGTTTTTTATTTAATATTGGGATCATTTTCAAGTCTGAAAAATTCTTGCCCTCTGGGCTTTTCTTATCCTGTCCTTTCTCTCTGAAATTCTGAAGTTCCTGCTAGTTAGGGAGTCTGTACTGAGTGTCCACAGTAATAAATTTAAAGAGGCTAAGCTGCTTTTACTGCATATAGACATATTTCCAAAGTTCAGCCAGCAGAGGGACAGGAGGATGGTTTCGTTCCCACTAACATTTTTGTACTTCGGCAAGCTTTCTGTGTAAAGCTGCCAAGAGAGCATGTGTCTGAAATGGCTGAAGGGGAGAGGCTGCAGCTCATCTGGCAGCTGCCATTAGAGATCTGCAGTACTGGAGCAAAGTGTGTTATGTGTCCTGAGAGAATCTTCAGTACGTTAATCCACTCCTCAGCGTGCTACTATTTATGATTTACCAGTTACTTTGTCAGTTGAGAGTGTAAAGATACAGTGTAAATTGAATTTAGTTTCTCCAGCTTGGTTTTGCTCTCTGTAATTGCACGCATTCATTTTGTATTCTCGCATGAACCAGAGAACATGTCGTCATGCCAGGTTCCTTGCCTTCTGTCTTGCAGACACTTGATTCAATTCTGCATATTGAGATGGTGAAAGAAAAATCAGCAGAGGAAATAAAGCAGGTGATGGATTTCAATGGAATTAAACTTGTTCCGCATCTATGCTTAATAGTAATCTGTATGTAATGATGGGAATTTTACTTAGCAGTGTGACTGAAAAATGAAACATAGTTATGAATATATGTTTATAAAAACCACATTCATATGCATGCCAATTACAGAAAATAGTTATGTACATATAAGTAAGTCCACCTGCAGTATCCTGCCTTTATAATAATCAGTTGATATCTGGACTCAACCATTCAAGAATTGTCTCTACTGCAAATCTGTTTGTTATGGTCGTTTAATATGTAGCAGTTGAATCGCCATCAGCAAGCTCCTGTCAGGTCTAAGGCAGTAAGGGGAGATCCTGGCAGCGGCAGGGATCTTACAGGGATCAGCATGCACAAAAGAGCTTTCTGTAAGGACA